CCCCCCCCTGGATCCGCTCTTGATAGAATCAGGAAAGTTTTCCCAATGCAAGGTAGATGTGAAATATTGAACCAGATTATTTCTAACTGCTTACTTTAGAATGTATTTTAACCACGCACTGTGTTCTATTGCACTAAACCAACCAAAGCAGCTGGAAAGATATTGAATACATTAAATACTTTAAAAATAAATTGAATTGTTGAGTAATATTACCACTTAAGCACTAAATCCAATTTCAAGCTAATATATTCATAACATCAATATATTAGCGATACAAGGGATTACTTATGTGATTTTGCAATTCCACTGTGATTGTCGAAAAAGTATGTGATAAATTTATACCTCATAGTATACCGCGTTTTGTCAGCCATGGGAGAGTCGCACATTAATTAGCATGCATATAAGGGCGGGCAAATCGCACGCTATTTATTTGAATAGCGTACACACGCAATATCGGAAATAAAAAACACATTGCTCAAGTAGAAACAGCATCATTAAACTGCATTAAAACTGATGCCAAGGCTAACATTCCTAACTAAGTATATTCAGTCAATTTGGTGAACATGAATCACGGCATACATTGATTAGTTTTAGAATACTAAAAATTATTAAATTTAAATGAATCCTTCCAGCTGGAGCTTTGCGTTAATCGGTTCAAAGGGCTATTTAGGTTAGTATTTACTAACCATATTCTGAGATAATTCAAATGCATAATGCAACATGAACTCCGACATTTTCCTCGTTCAGTTGAGTCAACAAAGAAATACCTAACTCTCAGCGGGCAATAATGTGAAACGAATAGAGCATGTCAACGTCGACTGCATGGTATCAGGAAATGTATCGTCACGAACAAAAAAAAACTACTCCTATACTCCTCGATTTGACATTATGCTTTTTCATTGTAAATGTTAGGACAATCTGCAAGCAAAGTGATAATAGATTTGTAATTGCTAGCCAAGTGCAAAATAAACATATATTTATTTATTTATAATATTATGTGCATTACGTGTTGGGGCCCCTCGCTCAATCCTATTAATATAATTGCCAAGTTAAACAAACTACCACAAAATATATTGACAGCTCCACTCCGAAACTCTGATTCGAGTTAACAAGCGCACTTTGAAATAGTAGGGCATTTCTCAAAGTCAATATTTCACAAAAATGTTCATTACCTTTGTCGCCGATTGGTTTTAAAGAACCAATGAAAAAATGTATTTTTATGTTAAGAGTGCGTTGTTTAAAAGTACCATACCACTCCATATTTTTACATATATTCTTGACGTTTCACTAGTCTAATTTAGTAAAATACAAAAATTTGATTTTATATACAGGGTGATTCCAAATTGGAGTCATTCCTTTTAAGGGGTGATGGAGGCTCACTTATGGAGTACGAGAAAAATATTGAAATTTTTTTTTCCAAAATTTCTAGAAGATATTAACAGTTGAAGATCGAATTTCAACTTTGCTATTAAGCATTATTTTGAAATTGTTCCATGTTTAATTGGTAGCATATTGGAATACTTAAGCATTCAAAAAGAAAAATTAAGATCTTTGCTTCAAATTACGAAAATTTTCGATATTGAAAAAGTTCTGTTCTACAATTTTTTTATGAAAAGGCTCAGCGGCAATGATGTTTTCTGCCATTAACAGATAGTTATAGGTGGATAGTCCTTGTCAATAATAACAATAATCTGTCAAACTGTGACTTACTTTGAATTTCCTTTCACGAATTTGCGGATATGCGATTAGTTCCGGGGAAATGCTACAGTAACATAGCAGAAGCTGAAAGAACTCAAGCCAACAAAGGGCGAGGAGAGTGGTTCCAGGAAGATAGTGGACGACAATTGATGTTCGGGTTCCAAGCACAGAGGAACAAGTATTGGACATAATCGAATCAGGGCCTTCCAGGGGCACTCAGAGCACAATAACTGACACTTTCCCA